GAAGTAACTGGAAAAGAGAGAGTTATAAATGCGTGTCGTCAAGGAGAAGAAGGAAAAAAAATATGAGTAAGAGAGATAAGGATGAGTGTAGAGAGTGCGTGAATGTGTGAGAAAGAAATAATTAAGGTATATTGCGACAAATAGAAAAAAGAAGAATCAGAATAATGATTCTAAGTATCATGGGTTGTAAGCATCAGATATGAAAAAGAGAATAGTAGAAGAGTGGAAAAGGGAGGTTAAAAGGAAGAGATGGGACAGTAGGGTATAATGATTAGTTGGATAGGAAGAAGAGGAGGCTATGATTAATTATAGTTGAAATAGTCGTTATATGGATAAGATTATGCGTGGGAGGGGGTGTGAGATGGGTACTATGAGGTGTTTGACTGTACTGAATGGGGTATGTATGGAAAGTAAGGGGGAATGTGTTTTGGGGTGGGTGGGTGATGAGGAGGGGAGTTTGTGTTTGTTGGAAGAGGGGGAAGAAAGGGAGGAGGATTTTTGATAGGGAGTAAGGAAGATTGGTTGTAAAGAAAGGAGTAACCCATTATTTGCAAAGGATGTAGAAGAAAGAATGAAAGTAATGGAGAGATGAGTAGGATGATAGAAGATGAAATAATTAGGTGGGTATTTGATGAAATTGTGTTAAGTGATATTTATTGGGGAAAACTTGTACAGTATTAAAATGCATGTATGAGAAAAAAATAAGTATAAAGTATTTATACTTATATCCCCTCTTTACCATATTCTGACCCAGTATGAGCAACTGGAGGAAGAGCAGGATTATGTGGGTGGCTATGTAATTTTTTCTTTGTGGGGTGTTAAGAGAGCCAGCGTAAGGAGAGGACAGAAAGATACACATTACTTTGTCTGATTTTTTGCATTTTTCCATTTTCTGCTCAAATGAAAGAAGAATACTATTCTCACCACCAGAAACAAAGGCACAGGACATGTATCAAGACTGGGTGGATTGGTGCATGCTATCAAGAGTTCAAAGGAGGAGGAAGGGGTATGTCAGAGATGGGAAGCTAGAGAGCATGTACCCATACTTTTCAAAGCAATGGTAATGGTAATGTGATACTAATAAATAAACCAGTGAGCAACAATCTAGATAAGTGATTCCCAACCTTTTGACTTGTGGAGCCTTTTTTAAGTATCACTTTCTGTGGCCGAGTTCCTTAGGCCTACCCTATCTCCTACAATTAAATAGTGGCTAAGTGTTTAGGAGATAATAAGGGAATGTAAAGTAAAGAGATATCTAAACAATTGCTCAAAATCCATGCAATGAAATTGTAATTTGAAAACTTTGTAAACTCAAGTACTTACCTATTTGAAAACCAATAAAATCACCTGAGTCAATCAATAATGTAATATCTTTTTCTACCAGAAATGTATTGCAGTATTTTGGGTTTCAAAAGTATGAGTAGAACAAAACATAATACTTTATTAATGATCATTTACTAACTACACAACTAAACCTCACAAAGAGGTCAAATGTACAGAAAATTCACAGAAGAATCGCTAAGAAATCATGATGCTGTTGTTATGAAAATTCACCATGAAGTGACTCCAAATCGAAAACCCAATCTCTATTTATACAGAACTAAGTTCCGAGAAGCTCTGATTCCAGGAATTCTTGACGGTTTGAGAATGAACAAGAAACTTCTTGAATGTGAAGTTCCAAGAAATCGCTCAGACATTCAGTTCCAGGACGGGGCATTAAAACACGGCACGTGCTAGTGTTCATGCAACAGGCTGGTGTCACACTCAGCCTCATCTGTCCATCTCACACTATAATAATTTTGGAAGTCATGGCAGCAGAAAGAAAAAAATGTCCTCTGCTAGAGGAGCCTCAAAATTCAACTTGGCAAATTTCTGTTTATAATGTAATTCCTAGTTTTCTTATTTTGATTCTTTTTTATTTCATTCATTTTTTATTTATTTTACTTTCCTAAGCGACCCTGGAACTCCTGGGAAGTGCATACATAGCTCTTAGGGCTCCGTAGAGCACAGGTTGGGAATCACTGGTCTAGACTGTAATATCAAGCAATTATAGCTGGATAATCAAAGCAATAAATAACAATTTCTTTGAAAAAACTAACATTTCTCAGATTACTTTTCATATAATCATAACAAATCTACTTACATGAGTTTGTTTTCTTAACCATAGATTGCCCTGATTTTAGTTTTTTCAACTTTTCTCTTCCTGGGAACACGACACTACTTTGTCTTTGGAGTGTGTTGACAAACTCCGTAAATTCAGACTTCCAGGTAGATATATGATGTAATCTTGAACGTGCATAAAAGTCAGAAATGAAATTGGAGTTCAAAGATCTGGACAGAGGTGAAGAATCTACCTTACTAGGAGCAGGTGCTGGGATAGTGCTTTTTGTGCTTGAAGGCCCCTGAATGGCAGAGTGGTAAGCACCATTTATTTTGCTATTATTGTGCAAATTTGAAAAAGATGAATTACCCATAGTCCTATGCATATTCTGTAAAAGTTCTGTATCTTTGTTGCTTTGTTGCAAATGTGGCGTTGAGTCTCTAAAATCAGTTTTTTCAGTCCTTTCCTCTTTCTGTACAGGATCTGGTGACAATCTACTTGTAATGTTGCCAGAAAATACCATGTTATCCTGTGTCTTTAAGGCACTATTGGAAACATGTCCATTAAAAATGGACATGTTTTCTTTAGGATGAATTCCATTCTGTTTGTTCTCAGAAAAGCCTTGCTCTAGTTCCAAGAATCCTGTGTCTTCAGTCTCATCCTCCTTGTTCAACTTATTCAGTCCATTGGCTTTAACTTCATTCTCTGTTTCATGCTTTTGTACTAGACAATTTCTATAACAGAAAAATCCATAATACAAAAATACATTAGAATAATATTATTTCCTTTTCCCACATTTTGGATACTTGTTTACTTAGAACAAAGTATCCCCAGAAGACTTAAATAGGGGTAGTATGTGATAACTTATGATTCCCATAATTCCAAAGTTTTCATAAATTATGAATTTGAAAAGTTGTTCAACAACACTGTTCCTGGAACTACATCTATGAAGGTACACATGTAGTCTGTATAATTTTATTTACGAATATAGTTATGTGGCTGGACACAACTGCCTGATATAGGTTTACATATAAATCCCTCTTGAAAGGAAATCCTCCAAAACTGGCTGCAAGGATGAAGGGCTTGGCTTCAAATATTTACCATTAAACTTTATTATCAAGCCAGAAAAACAGATCTGCTAAACAAGTATCTTCTTCATACTTAAAAATTAAAGCACGACAAGAGTTTAAATTGAACACTCTGGTTGTCTGTTGCAAGACACCTACAAGGCTGAATTTATTGGCCTGAATTTTGATCTTTTATAAACAAAGAATTTGCCTTATTTTTTCACAAAGGGAGAACTTCTGATTTAAAACACTGTACAAAAACAAATTACTTCTCTATTTTTTCACATTCTATGTTTTTATTTTCAATTTACATATTCGTAAAAAAACAATGAAACAGATCTATATATATGTATACATACATGAAAAAATAATCCTAACATCTATACAATATTCATGTTTGGTTATACCATCCCCTCCCCCCCTCCCATTTTGGTGACTTCCTGTTCCTTTATATATAATTACATTCTTCCTTCCTATTACATTGCTTTTCGTTCTTCCTTCTGGTCTGATAGTTATTATTTATAAATCCCCTATACAGATTTTAAAATTAAATTATGAAGTCTTTAAATTATGAGTCCCCTGCGGGGTGAGAAGGGCGGAATATAAGAACTGTAAATAATAATAATAAATAATATAAGTCTTTTACCGAAAGCTTCATTACTTCCCCTATTCATGAACATCTCATGATCAGTATGCACTTTTATTCAAACTATAGAAGAGTAAAACCCTTTGTTTTCTGTGAAACTATTATTTGTCTTCTTAAACATATTTATGATTACCCATACCCTAGTATCAATCTAGAAATTTCAGTAATAAAAATCAACCCCAAATAAGCCAACTTATCTAGGGGTCCATATGTGTACCTTAACTCTTATACAAAATGAACCACCCCCACCTCTGAACAGAGTGGCAAAAGGAGAACCTAAAAGAAGCAACGACCCACTCTACAATGTCCACTGCAATGGCACTTCTAGCCTTTTTGAATACTTAGGTGTGGAAATGGTGGTGGTATCCAGGGTGGTTGACTCTCTGGGACAGTCCTGTATTTTCTTTCTCCACAGAATCACCCCCAATTTATCTACAAGCATATCAAAATCCTTAATTTTGGCTCCAAAACCTGCCCTTGGCCTTATACAAGATAGGTTCTATAGCAGGAATGGGCAAACTTCGGGAATTTTGGACATCAACTCCCAGAAAACACAGCCAGCTTACTGGCTGTTAGGAATTGTGGGAGTTGAAATCCAAAACACCTGAAGGGCCAAAGTTTTCCCATGCCTGCTCAAACTGTTGTAAGTTGCTCCGAGTCCCCTTGGGGAGATGGGGGCAGGGTATAAATAAAGTATTATTAATGTGGCATTTAATTATTGCTAATTTGGAAGCCTCTCTGAGTCCCCTTTGGTGTTGAGATAGAGCAGAGTAAAAATACAACAAATAAATAAATAAAAAGCATCCTGGGTTCAGCTTGCTGCTTTATCCTGCAAAAAATCTCACAGCAGCTTTTGGTATTAAAACTACTTTGTAAGTTAGAGAAGAGATTTTGAATTCTCCCACCAAAGTTTGCTTTACACTTTGCTAGTGGATCCTCAACTGTCAGATGGAATTAAAACTACCTTTGCCCATAACTGACATAGACCTGTGATTATGCTTAGAGTTGACATTAAATTAAATCACCGTATTTTCTGGCGTATAAGACAACTGTGCATATAAGATGACCCCCAACTTTTCCAGTTCAAATATAGTTTGGAATATACTCACTGTATAAGACTATCCCTCTTCCAACGCACATCAAATAATTTTTTTAAAAAACATCAGATTTGATTTCAATATGGTAATTCTCCTATTACCGTACCTTCTTCTCTGCCTCTCAGATCTCACACATGCGTGCCTGCATTGTTTCACTGCAGTCTTCAGGAATGAGATCTGAGAGACAGAGCAGGAGGTATGGTAATAGGATACAAGGGCGGGCCACACGGGTGAAAGAAGTGTGTTTTTCTGGGCACAGCACTGCTCTATCTCTTTTTTGCATACCCTGGGCATCCCGGACACCTTCTGCTTGCTCTGCCCTTCACTTACACCTTCCCGGTGAGGCGCCCCCTCACCTCATCATTAAGGCACTTCTTTCCACGAATCCTGGTGAGTGGATTTTCTTCTACCGTACTTGTACAGTGCTGCCCTTGCTGCTTTCATACAGTCGCCGCATTTGGTGGGGATGTGGCCATGGCCGTTTTTGAGATCCCTCCACCATATGTGCCAACTGCAAATTTTCCAGTCTGGCTTGGAAGTTTCAGCACCTGCCCTATAAGACAACACCCAGCGCATAAGACGACCCCAAGTTTTGAGAAGATTTTCACTGGTTAAAAAGTAGTCTTACACGCCAGAAAATACAGTACCTCCTGTGTAGTATACTGTAATACATCATGCTACAATAGTGCTTTACTTTAAATATATCTGGAATCCCTAACTGGTATTTTGGCCATATATAATCCTCTAGACCAGAGCTTTCCAAACTGTTTGTCAGGACACACCAGTGTGTTGTTTGTAGTCCACAGGTGTGTCACATGAAAATGCTCCCCTCCAAGAGGATCAGTGAGGGGTGGGAAGGGAAACTATAACATTTATAATTTGCATAATTTGTCGATTGACTTGCAGGTCTTTATCACTGAATATGGAGGCGCTTTTATCTAGAAGACAGCTGTACAAATTTAAAGTTAACCAAAAATGAAGTCAACTCAGTCCCCTCCATTAAAGAATATAATTTGAAGGGTGTTATGAGATCTGTAAAGAACTGTACAAACATTGCACAATGTAACACAATTTTGTTCCTGGGCTTATAAGTGTCATTTCCCAATTGGTTCTATCATAAAAACATGGAAAAGGTTTATTAAACTGTGCAGCACAATTTGCAATAGTTTTTAATGAATATCTCATTGAGTCCCAACCAAATCAACATAGTTTGTGGCTACCACAAAAAACCAAATTTCTGGAGTATAACAATTACTTTCAAAGTAAGTTCCACACAACTAAATAGAAATAACACTTTCAAATCAGGAACAGATTTTTTTTTCAAATTTTGTTACATAGTGTTATCAGTATAAATTGATTAGAGCTGATCTGCCAACTTAAAACTGAATTAGTAAGCCAAGCAAAGTACTTACACCCTGTTGATCTCCACAGAGATATTGCTAGGACCTGGGATAGGATCTTCAGTTTTGCATATGGTATTAAAGCAGAGGCCTTTCTGAGTGCTTGATTGTTTCGTGTAAAGCTGATATGGAACATAGGAAAGGAGCCGCCCAGCTTTTATGCTGTAACAAAATATACAGATATTAACTGTCAATAACTTCAGAGCAGTAAGTGAGAACATGTCATATATAGACTTTCTTCAGTATTTAAAGCATTGTGGGAAAGGCATTTCCTAGAAGAGAACCCATGGCAGCCTAAATATTCCAGCATCCAAAATTGTTCATATGGGAGGCTGAGATAGTGACACCTTTGCTTTCTGATGATTTAGTGAACACAAACTTTGTTTAATGCATAAAACTATTAAAAATAATGTATAATATTTTCTTTAGGCTAGATGTACATGATGCACATGAAACATATATCCCTCACCTTCATTTTTAAATATGAATCATTTGTAAGTCAGATGGTTGTAACTCGGGGACTGCCTGTATACGCAAATATTCCAAAACACGGAAAAATACAAAACTGAAAGCATTTCTGCACCCAAGCATTTTGGATAAGGACTACTCAACCTATTTCTGACTGATAACACAGTTCTCTTATTTCTGGGTGTTTTGTTCTCTGATTATTTTTATTCTATCTCTCCCCATTCCCCCATATATATTATATTCTCTGAATATAAACTATACTGGAAAGTTCTTAACAAGTCCAAGACTAGGATTCTGAGGATTCTTCAATAAAAATGGATACTCGGTAAACATGCAAGGACTGGCACAGTCTATTTGAATATCAGACACACACACACACACACACACACTTTCCATCACTTCATGGCAATGAGCTTCTGAAAATCTAAATACTGGTATAGAAGGAAAAGCAAAGCACAATTAACTAAAGAAAATGGCTTTTAGTAAATCCTGAACTTAACTACTCAGGAATTCTAGCCCTGTTGGAAAGGGAAGATGAACAAGGTGACATTCATATTGTAACTTCTATCAAGCCACCTTCACCTCAATCATGAACTGAACAGAGAATATATGAAACAAGCTACCTTCTGTACAGACCACTTGTCCTTTTCACATTTTTCAGTTTCTTTGGTTTATGTACTTCATCTTAACAGTTTTACATTCAGAACTACTGATGTTTTTAATATACCAAGTGAAACGTTATTATTCAAGCTTTGTTGTTAAATCATGACATTCTGGAAGTAACAGCTTTTTCATAACACCCAATTGCAGCACTAAAATGTTCTCAAAGGGCTTATATTGTGATAACTGCAACCAAGTCCCTGTTATGCAGAAAAGAAATGTAAACATGCATGGTCTAGGGAAATGCACTGGCAAATCTTAGTATTATTAATGCTTACTCCTTTATGGTGTATTCCTATCTAATTTTAACCTGTACATTAACAAGCTTGGTGAAAGATCAAATACCAATACCTGCTGCAATTAACAAAACTACAGAAATATCACGTTACCTAATTAAAAAAACATTAAAAAGCTTGTTAGCATTTATGTGGTTGGTTTCTAGGGGAATACGCAGATAATTTGTTTTCCTAATATTTTAATACACAATAATGTAATAACAATCTAATGTGTTCTGAAAGTGCCTTCAATATGAAAAAAACTCATCAAAAACATTATGATTTAAATTTGTAACATTAATTTTAATAAACAGTCCTGTTATTCTATTATGAATAGGCTATTAACTTGTCATACACTCAATAACATAACTTTCAATGTGACACTCACTTCCTAATACAACAGATATCATAGAGCTGCAGGATAACCCTAAACACAGTGAATATGATCAGTGTTAAAAATAGAAAATAATTAAAAACACATTCTGTACGAACAATATTTAAGAAGGCAATAGCATTTTCTATCTTTTTAAGCTAAGACATCTGCCCACATATCTTAAACATTAAAACTGAGTTAATGGAGTTAATACAATTTTTCTCCAGTATTTACCTATCTATTATCCATTCTGGTTGTACTACTTTTTCTCCTTTGAGTTCTTTTATTTTGGCATTTGGAAGATTTGTAGCAATAATGTGCGTTGTTTTGGATCTAGAATAGTATACATGATACTGCCCTCCGTGCAACATCATTAGATGCCTCAATTCGTCAGATGAAGGATCTGTAATAATAGTTGTAAACATTTATCTACACAAACTACAAATTTAAAATCTACTAAATCAGTGCCTTCCTGCGCTATTACTTAACTAATTTTTCTAAAATATTTCAAAATAAAGGAGAACCGTCAAGGAATTAAAAATAATAATGAGCTAACATTTCTTTAAGTAATGACACAGTCTATTAGAAATTAATATTTCCAAAATTTCAGTATGGGCGTGTTTCTGAAATATATTTCTACATGGAACGTCTTCACCAAGAACAGCTATTGAGATTCTCTGAAATATTTTTTTTCTTTCCCTTATTACAATAAGATAAATGGAAGCAATAAAATGTTGTCTTATGGAGAACTCTTGTTCAGAGTTGTAGTTAATCAGACACGCCATTTTCTAGTATACACCACTCCTTTCCCCCTTTCTCTTAGTTTTTTACACTTGATATTTCCTTAAGCATATTTTTACTCTTTCTTGTTCGTCTGTGATGCTCAGAAAAGGCAACCAAAATCATAAGAAAGGAGTTTGCCATTGGCATGTATAAGTGGTATGTTAAACAAAAGCTTCAGTATTTGCACATCATATCATTTCCTTCAAATTTAGTTTTCTGTACTCTCCACAGCATGCTCTGTCTTCATCTGTACTTTACATTGGTTTTATTTATTTATTTATTTATTTATTTCGTGCATTTGTACCCATCCTTCTCACCCCCGAAGGGGGACTCAGAGTGGCCTCACAGCAAGTACCATTCAGTGCCATCACAATTATAAAAACATTCAACAGATTCATTAAAAAAAGACATTAAATAAACAATTATTAAAAACACGCCGGGTCAGTTCATTATCGTTCATTATCAATTCATTTTACTATTTATATCCTGCCTTTTCCCCAAGTCGGGGATATAAAGCCACTGAGGGTGCATCTATACTGTAGAATTAATGTAATTTGATATCACTTTAACAGTTATGGCTCATGGCATTCTTTAGCTTTCTCTACTATTCAAACATCAAGCAAATTTAAAACCACCATAATTCCAGTAAATAAAAAGGACAATGTTTTAAACCTCTGACTGTGACAGCCAACAATACTACCATGACTACAACTACAACTACTAAAATTTATTTGTTATCTACCTCTCCTCACGGCTCAAGGAGAGGAGACAACATGGCTAAAACGGAGATAAATAAAAAAACATAAAATACAGATAAACACAAAATAAGATTAGAACACTGATATTAATGAAATGTACATTTAAAATTCATAGCTTAAAATTGATTGTATTTTAATTTCTTTTATCGTGTCAGAAGTGACTTGAGAAACTCCCTACAGACTTTCTCATTCACTGCTTCACTCCATAATTTTTGTTTAACTTGAGGTTTAAATAGCTAAATGAGAAAAATAAAATATCACCTGTATAACCATTGACATAAATAGCAACTCCATCGAAGATACCAGAGGAAGTTCCATCTTTTTGTAGTTGCATAGCTGCGTCTGAACGGAACTGATCCTCCAGTTTTTGAACCTTGGCAGACATATATCCTCCCTTGTTTTTAAATAAAAGATAAGATATTGTTTACATAGATAGCAAGTGATAATGGTATCAACTGCCACTGAAAACGACTTGATATATATTTAGCTTTTGCTGTGGAAAACTTTATTTGGTCTAAAGTGTGTAAATGAAACAACTGCACACATATACTGTGTACGTGTGTGTGTATGTGCGTGTGTGTAAATGAAACACACACAATTTAAGCTGCTTCAGAAAACCTGTAAGAATATTAATGCAAGGCATTTTCCTAATCAGATTTCTCACATGAACTAAAATGAATGGATTAACATCATGTTCTGGTCAGTCAAAGGATAATAATATTTGGCTACACTGTAGCAATAAAACAGTTACGCTAAAATCATCTCACCACTGAAAAGCATGCAATTATAAAGTTACATTTATAATTTTGTTAGAACATTATCAGCTTGAACATACCCAGGCTCCCCAGCCATCTCTGTCACTGGCACGTTTTCTCCAACCACTTTGCTTCATAATGAAGCTTCTAACTAGGAAGGAAAAAAAATAATACAAAAGGTTATTTTCAGTATCACTTCTAAAATAAAAAATAACGCTAGTTCTAGAAATCTTTATACTGGAAAGACTTTATATGATAGTAAGTGCACTAGCTATCTGTTCACAAATATTAATTCACATGTATGAAAATTCCTTAGAAAACTTTTAAACCTGGGGATACAATTTCTGGGGGCTAAATATGCCCTTGAGGCTGCAACCTCATCTTAAAAATGGTTAAATATTTGTGTTTTTTAAAATGAAAAATGCTTCCTTATGCTTATAAAAGTAAAAGTAAAGGTTTACCCTGACATTAAGTCTAGTCGTGTCCTGCTCTGTGGGGTGGTGCTCATCTCCATTTCTAAGCCAAATGGTGTCTGTAGACACCTTCAAGGTCATGTGGCCAGCATGGCTGCATGGAGTGCTGTAAGCTCTCCTGTAGAAGCCATACCTATTGATCTACTCACATCTGCATGTTTTCAAATTGCCAGGTTGGCAGAAGCTGGGTCTAGCAGAGGGAGTTCACCCTACTCCCTGGATTTGAACTGTCAACCTTTCGGTCAGCAAATTCAGCATCTCAGTGGTTTAACCTGCTACACCACCAGGGGGACCTATACTTATAGTATGGGGGCAAATTTGCTTGATTTTGGCTTTCTCCAGGGGCTACTTTAACTCAAGATACCTTTTTAAAACCAAGACTCCTGGATTTGATTTCTCTCTGCCCAACCTTGCTAAGCTGCTCAGGGGAAGCAAAAGCATGGTAAAATTGCCCTGAAAGTGCGCACCAAAATACCTTGGCTTCCCTGCTTTGTCTTCCAAAATTGTGACCAGGGGTGACATCAGATGACTTGCCATCACCATTTTGGAGCAGATGGTAGATTCTGTGGCAAGATGGAGAGGGTTTTGAGGAATTTGTTTTTGGGAAGCTTTGGGTTTAATTTTGAGGTGAAAACTGCAACAAAAGTTAATAAAATTTTTGGTGGGCTTCGGACGTTTGGGGGGGGGGGGGAGAGCAGTGATGTTTTTGGTGGGTCCAGGGGCCTCATTGTTGTATTGCAGACAAAGATAAACTTGATACCATTCCTCAATTAACAATTGTTTATTAATGATATAAGGTGAAAAGAGAAAAGACTGGAATCAATGTTAAAATCTTATGATAATCAAAGTCATAAAACTATGACACTGAAATAAATATTGTTAAGGAAATGTACACTGGGAAGAGTCATGAAGATCCCACAGGGGTTATCTTCTGTACACTCATTAATTTCCTTGCCCTTCCTCAGCCACAAGGAAGTATGAACACCTGCAACAACAAAGCACTTCAGCAACTTAAAATTAACGACGGTACTATTATGGCATACACTATTGCTCAATTCTTTATTATGTAAGTCTTGGCAAAGCTTATATATTAAGACACATTGCATAAGCTTACACAGGTTGAGTATCCCTTATCTGAAATATTTGGGACCAGAAATGTTTTGATATTATTATTTTATTTTTATTTTGGAACATTTCTATTTGCCTATACATACATAATGCGATGTCTTTATATGAATCAACATCTCCTGCCATTTCTATCTGAGGATTCATGCAAAACATCTATCAGGACCTTGAACTCCTTGATTGTAAGTAGGGATTACAACAACCCACAAAGATGAGCAGGGCAGAATGAAGGTTGTGTCACTTCTCTATCACTTTAGTAATTTGATATTGACAGCTTCCAAATCCATGATGGAAAATGGATCAATTATGGTTTCCCCAGGGAGCCAAACAAGAAAGTGTAGTCTTGCCACAACCTGCCTGATATTAACCCCTTATAAAGTCAAATAATCTAAGCTCCATAAACAAGAATTCAGATGAATGGTATACAGATGGCCTTCCATGACTGTGATTTTTATATACCATATCCTAAAATATCTATTAAAAATTGCTTATTTTATCTAATTCTTTTACAGTTGAAATCATTCATCCTACAAAACATTTGAATTATGCATGCTTATTATTTTTCCCAATGCCTCCATGAAGTAGGCTATACTAAATAATTTTTTTACCAGATCTCCACCCCAGTCTTGGATAAGATTTTTCTCCCTTCTTAGTTACTTTGGAAAAACAAATTCTATAAATCCCCTAAGAAAAATGAGAAAAATCTTATCTTTATCTTGTGTCCACCATTTGTCATCCATATAAATATGGTCCCTGGTTTACAGTCTGTTCAATTTCAAAAGCATTTACCACAGCATATGAACTTTCAGCAGCTTTTAAAGAGGTCTTCTAAGTGCCCAATTGAGAAAAATTGTGAGCGACTACAAAAAGATTATGTATGAAACTAGAAGGTAAGCAGAGTTAAGTCTGTTTAGTATTTGGATGAAGGACCACCAATGAATGTCAGGTCCTGTAAGCTAAATTGCAGAGTAAGGAACTGGGAATGTCACCTATGTCTTGCCTAAGAAAATCCTATGAAATTCCTGATATCACTATAATTTGACAGGTTACTTGAAGAAAGACAGATACACAAATGCAGAGGCTCTCCCACATTCATTCTGTACATCATACTGCTGGGATTTCCCTACAGAAATTGAGGAATGTCCACCAAGTCAAACACTGGTTGGAAAGAGGTTAGTGCTATCTTTCACTGGCACTGTCAATGCTAAGGGAGGCCAGAAAAGGTGGGTAGATAATAAATAGTAAAGAAATAAGAAAGACTTCAGAACGTATTTAGTTATCATACCACTTTATATAACATTAGGTAAATTATATTTGTTTCTGTTATGGAACACAGCTTTATTTCTGTTTATGTGACATAATATCAGCAGGTATTATCTGCAGGTACTCTGCAGTCCAACAGGAGGAAGAAACACTAAGGGTATGTGCAAAAAGAATCTGCGAACCCCACCTCCTCCAAGATGAACTGAACCACCTAAACTGGGCTCTACAAGCCAATGATACTCCACCTCAGACATCAGAAGAGCTGCAAGACCAAGAACAAGCCACGAGAGTAAAGATGAAGATCCACCCAGAGGAAAAGTGTTCTTGACATACATCAAGGGTACCACTGACCGCATAGGGAAGCTGATGAGGAAACACAACATACAAACCACCTACAAACCCACTAAGAAAATTCAACAAATGCTACATTCAGCAAAGGACAAGAGGGATCCTCTCACCTCTGCAGGAGTCTACCGTATTCCGTGCAGCTGTGGACAAGTCTACATAGGGACCACCAAACGCAGCTGCCCAAACACGAATCAAGGAACATGAAAGGCACTGCAGACTACTTCAACCAGAGAAGTCAGCCATAGCAGAGCACCTGATGAACCAACCTGGACACAGCATATTATTTGAGAACACAGAAATGCTGGACCACTCTCACAACCACCATGTCAGACGACACAGAGAAGCCATTGAAATCCACAAGCATGTGGACAATTTCAACAGAAAGGAGGAAACCATGAAAATGAACAAAATCTGGCTACCAGTATTAAAAAACTAAAATTACAACAGCAAAACAACAACAATCAGGCACATCTAATCACCTCTCAACATAAGATTCCCCCAGGCACAGTCAGGCCATCCAATGCTAATCAAGGTGGTCAGTTGAAGCATTCCCACCTAGCTCCAGCAGACAAGAGTCCTTTGCCCCACCCTGGTCATTCCACAGATATATAAACCCATTTTCCTAGTTCCAACAGACCTCACTACCTCTGAGGATGCTTGCCATAGATGTAGGCGAAACGTCAGGAGAAATGCCTCTAGAACATGGCCATATAGCCCAGAAAAACCTACAACAACCCACTAAGGGTATGGTTGGGAGGAAGCATGCAAACCATGAAGAGAGAGGAAATGCCATAGCTTTTACTGGGTAAGTCACCTTTCGTGTGAACGAAAGGTGACATATGGGGCAAAGGACACTAAGGTGTTATAGAAAAGAGTAATGAATGTCTTCCTCCCCTCCTTTTCTTTTCACTTTCCAGTCACATTCTAAGGAAAGATTGGGGGAAGATAGAGAGTTGATCGGGTTTGTGTATAAAACATCAAAATCTACAGGGGTAATTTTGTAGCCAAGTACACTTTCACAATTTGCTGTATATGTGGATTTCTCTTCTTTTCCATACGAGTAAAAGGCAAATCTATTATAATTAATAAAACATGTCACCTCCATTTTGTGTGCTTTTGAGATTGGAAGGATCATCTCCAAAAGGACCATCAATCAGAGCTCACAACTATTTTTACCAAGTGAACTGTAAACCTTGAGTAGCACTCCTGTTATCCAGAATTTCATGTTTCTATTGGGGGTGGGATTACAGGCAAGTCTGAAGGAAATAACAGGTGGAAAGTACAATTGTATTATTAACAGTGGCTATACACAAAACTTGTTCTAATTATTCAAATATCCTGAATGAGATAAATGAACTATCACAGAATGTGTGAGAAGAATATATTATCCCAGGAGAATCTGCTAGTTTCAAAGTCGACTTTGTGAATGAACTGCAATGATCTCTCTCACATTTCTTCATTTTACAACATTTTACAACATTTTCCAGAACTGTGAACCTCAACTGCCTACAGTTGGAGGCTGGGTCGCAGTGGTCCTTCACTGTGCACAGGCTTTCTTGAACAAAGAAGACTCCACATTCACTGATTCTAGAAAACTTAAATGTTATTGGGGTGAATCATGCAGCTGAGATCTCCTTGCTCAGAGAGGACTGGTACACGTGTGGAACATCACACAACTCACATTCAAAGGAAGGCATACCTGGCTTAAATGTATTGTGCTACATTGCTAGTTCTGATCAACATATCCCTACATGGGATCCCATTCCAAATAACACCATTTCAGAAGCAGGACAATGTTTGTGCTTAAATACTTTAAAGCTTATCTTTACATAAGATTTACACAAGTAAAGGGGTGACTATGCTACAGTATTAATATCCTTTGTCCCTCATTTGATACCCTGCTCATTTGATACCCTGGAAATCCCAAATACTGAGAATGTGACAATGCAAAATATTCATTGAAAGAAGAGATTGAACCAAGAATGGAAAAAGCAGCATGTAATTTCACTGACAGCTTCCTTAAAAATAATGACAGGTTAGTACTAGGGTTTATGCCTAAAGACAATCTTATAGAAACATAAGGAATTTAAGTCTCAATGAATACAATGGGCCTTGTTTCTCAGTAAACCACACAAAGCCCAGCAAATAAAAGATGGGGGCCTCTATTACAGTGGGAAAAAGGACAATGTCAAGGAAAAAGTCTATTTATTTATTTACCCTATTTATACCCCATCTTTCCCTACCCTGAAGGGGGCTCAAGGTGGCTTACATATAGGCAATTATTCAAAGACAATATAGACAACAATGTATGTGGAAGCCGTTTTCTTTGTTTTAACAAAGTTAAAGTAAACAGCAGTGTCCAGATACTACAGCGTCTAATACATTGTGGTTTCGATCCAATCTATGAATCTACTTCTTGGTGAGTAAGCAAAAAGGGAATGGACCAAGATCTTTGTCTGACCTTTTTGCCCTGAAAGAATAATTCACATTAATGCTTTATTTACCCTCTTGCTAGAACAGCAGTTCCCAACCACAAGAACTAAAATATGGTCCGCGGCTTCACCGTTACTACACTGTTGCAACAAGAGTGACTGGTCTCACAAAACCCTCTTATAGTGGTGAGGCTATATGGTTTTCTATGGGTGAGCAGATGGCATTCGTTCTCAATCAGAAACTAGAGCTGATGTGGTCTATCCAATGCAATTTTCTGGATCGGCACTCCAAATAACCAAACTGAAACTTAAGTTGACCGAAAACTGATTCATAACCCTTTTGGTACTAATGTTGGAGAGTGGTCTCTGGACAAAAAAGGTTGGGAACCACTGTGTTAGAAGGAAGGGACTGAAATCCCCCTGGTTCACCGGGGAGCTGACTGTGATGAAGCATACGAAAAGGGGGCTAGAGCGCAAATGGAGGAAATCTCGGGACGTCTCTGATCGAGCACGGGCTAAAGTCTCTCTTAAGACTTACTCCGTGGCTATACGGGCGGCCAGGAAATCATTCACGACCACCCGTATAGCGTCTGCAGCAAACAGATCATCGGAGCTGTTTCGGGTCGTGGGGGAGCTCCTCCACCCACCTGTGGTGGAGGAGCTCACTGATGACCCAGCAGCTCGGTGTCGCGATTTCGCACACCATTTTGCAGATAAAGTCGCTCAGATACGTCTCGAGCTCGACTCCACTTCCATCGCAGTGCCAGAGGAGGTGACGGAGGCACCTGCTTGTCCATCTTTGTGGGATTCTTTTAGGCTTGTTCTTCCTGAAACTGTAGAGGAGGTCCTTGGGGCTGTGAGGGCGACCACCTCACCTCTAGACCCATGCCCATCTTGGCTCATTAAATCAGCCAGGGAGGGGGTGGTTGATTGGTTTGTGATTATCAATGCATCGTTGGAGCAAGGGATTTTTCCATCTGGTTTGAAACAGACTGTGGTTCGTCCACTCCTCAAAAGCTTCCCTTGACTCCACGGTGCTGAAATTACAGGCCAATCTCCAACCTCCCTGTGGTAAGGTGCTGGAGCGGGTGGTCGCCTTCCAGCTCCAGGGCTTTTTGGATGACATCAACTACCTAGATCAGTCACAGTCTGGTTTCAGGCCTGGTCATGGCACCGAGACAGCCTTGGTCGCCTTGGTGGATGACCTCCGCAGAGAGCTGGACAGGGGGAGTGTGACTCTGCTGGTTCTCTTGGACATCTCAGCGGCTTTCGATACCATCGATCATGGTATCCTTCTGGGTCTCTCTGGGATGGGCCTCAGAGGCGCGGTTCTATCGTGGCTCCGGTCCTTCCTGGAGGGTCGAACCCAGATGGTGAAGCTGGGAGACGCCTGCTCGGACCCCTGGCCTTTGACCTGTGGGGTCCCGCAAGGCTCTATTTTGTCGCCCATGCTTTTCAACATCTACATGAAACCGCTGGGAGAGGTCATCCGGAGTTTTGGAGTTGGGTGCCATCTTTATGCGGATGACACACAACTCTACTACTCCTTTCCACCTAACTCCAAGGAGGCCTCTCGGGTGCTGGACGAGTGCCTGGCCGCTGTGTCTATCTGGATGAGGAGGAACAAGCTGAAGATCAATCCTGACAAGACAGAGGTCCTCCTGGTCGATCGCAAACCGGATCGGGGTATAGGGTGGCTACCTGTGTTGGACGGGGTTACACTCCCCCTGAAGCCACAGGTCCGCAGTTTGGGTGTCCTCTTGGATTCTTCGCTCACACTTGAGGCTCAGGTGTCGGCGGTATCCGGGAGGGCCTTTGCACAATTGAGACTTGTGCGCCAGCTGCGACCGTACCTCGTGAAGGCAGATCTGGCCGGGGTGGTCCACGCCTTGGTCACCTCTAGAATGGATTACTGCAATGCGCTCTACGTGGGGCTGCCCTTGAAGACGGCTCGGAAACTTCAATTGGTCCAGCGGGCAGCAGCTAGGATGCTAACTGGAGCTCATTATCAAGAGAGGTCAACCCTCTTGTTCAAGGAGCTCCACTGGCTGCCATTTATTTTCCGAGCCCAATTCAAGGTGCAGGTGCTCACCTACAAAGCCCTGAACGGTTTGGGACCACCCTACCTGCGTGACCGCATCTCCATCTACGAACCCACACGCTCGCTCCGGTCATCTGGGGAGGCCCTGCTCGTGATCCCACCTGCGTCGCAAGCGCGCTTGGTGGGGACGCGGGACAGGGCCTTCTCTGTGGCGGCCCCCCGACTTTGGAATGCCCTTCCAAAAGAGCTCCGTCAGGCCCCTACTCTAGCAGTTTTCAAAAGGAACCTAAAAACTTGGCTGTTCCGATGTGCCTTCGCAGATTAGGAATCCCCATCCCAAGTCCTAGATGCACTTTAGCACAACTAATGTGGCTGCACACCGCACTTTAATCCTACGTTCCTCCTGCCATCTCAGCACTTTTAACCCTGTACCCCATTGCGCTGGCCGAACCAGTTTTAATAGTGTCTTGATGTATTGTCATTGTGGTTACTTTGCTTAATTGTTTGATTTGCTTTGTTTATTGTTGTGTTATGTTTTCTATTGTATTGTGTTTTGAGGCTTCGGCCCGTGTAAGCCGCATCGAGTCCTTCGGGAGATGCTAGCGGGGTACAAATAAAGTTAATAATAATAATAATAATAAATATGCAAACCCATAGGCTCCTAAATGCAGAGATGATTGACTTGTGCTCTTATCCTCCAAGACCAGCTCCACAGAACTTCTAACCAGAGTAATGACTATTTTCTCCTTACATTTTCCAGCTTAAAAATCCTTTGAAAAAATCCTTTACTTAGTTTGACACCTTCAATTTTCCAAGCACAGTTATGATATCCTGTTTTATGTAAAGTAGGCTCGTCATCAGAGGATATGGCGCCTTGGTGGTGCAATAGGTCTAACCAGGCATGGGCAAACTCGGCCCTCCAGAAGTTTTGGACTTCAGCTCCCACAATTCCTAACAGACTCAGGCCCCTTCCTCAGCCATTTAAGTGCTTGAGGCTGTTAGGAATTGTGGGAGCTGAAGTCCCAAAATACCTGGAGGGCCAAAGATTGCCCATGCCTGGGTTAAACCCTTGTGCCGGCTGAACTGCTGACCTGAGGTCGGTGGTTCAAATCTGCAAGATGGGGTGAGCTCCAATCTGTCAGTTCCATCTTCCCATGTGGGGACATGAGAGAAGACACCAGATGGTAACACATCTGGTGTCCCCTGGGCAACATCCTTGCAGACAGCCAACTCTCTCACACCAGAAGCAAGTTGCAGTATATTCTCAAGTTGCTTCTGATGCACACACACACCCTAAAGGATAGTTCAGGTTTTACAGTGGTCTTAGAATTAGCCTTCCATATCTTAGAAATGCCAAGCCAGGCTTGATTCAGGAGAGCCTAGAGAAGAGGATAAAGATTTGTAACAACAATAACAACAACGCCTCCTAAGCCTCCTCCAGACAGCCCTATATCCCAGAACATTAAGGCAGAAAATCCCACAATATCTGCTTTGAATTGGGTTATCTGAGGGCCCTTCCACACAGCCCTATATCCCAGAATCTCAAGGCAAAAAATTCCACAATATCTACTTTGTGCCGGGTTATCTGAGTCCACACTCAGATAATGTGGGATTTTCTGCCTCGATATTCTGGGATGTAGGGCTGTGTGGAAGGGGCTCTAGACTCCATTAAAAACCCGCACTTCCTGAGGTGGCCCAGTGCCTGTCAGTCCAGGCAGGGAGGCTGCAGGCAAAGGCTGTGCCGAGGAGCCACGGGCACCGATCGGCCGCCATGGTTCCCGGGACGTGCCCGGGTTGCAGACGACGCGCCCGGGGGCGGAAGACGCTCTCTGCCTGACCGCTGGGCCACCCTGCCTCCTCCGTCCCGCCTTATGTCTGAGGCGGTCCTCCCCTGCTTTGACACCTCCATGCCTCTCATATACACACAAGAGCACACGATTATCGGGCGGGCGGCCCTGGGGAAGGCGCGAGGAGGGCTTGGGGCCTGCTCCGCCTCAGGGGCGGCCAAACGGGAGTCGAGCTCCGCCGCGGTTTCCCTCCCTCCTTCCGTCCTTCCTTCCTCGCTCCTGTCAAGGCGCCTCACCTTTTGCCGCGTCCCTGGGGCGTCGCCGCCGCCGCCTTCCGCGGATCCTCACATCGCGTCCCGCCTCTTTCCTCCTCTCAGGCGCCGCCGACAGCCCTCTCGGCCGCCTCCTCCCCCGCCTCCTCCCCCGCCTCCTCCTCCGCCGCCGACCTTCCTTCCTTCCCTCAGAACACACCGCGTCACGCACGGCGCGCGGAGGAGAGCCTCGCGCCACCAACCGCCTTCCCTCCCTCCCTCGTCGCGCGCACCAGCTGCCGTTTTAGTCCTGGAGAGAGAGACAGAGAGAAAAAAGGAAGAGCGCGCGCCCCCTAGTGGCTCGCGGGCGCTACCAACGGCAACCGCGAGCGAGAGAACTTCCCTCCTTTTTTTTTGAACCTCCTCCCCTATTTATTTATTTATTTATTTTATTTTGAAAGCGGGAAGGAAGGAAGGAAGGAAGGAAGGAAGGAAGGAAGGAAGGAAGGAAGGAAGGAAGGAAGGAAGGAACCCCCTCTGAAGCGTCCCAGCGTCACGTGACGTCTGGTGAAGACGGACAAGCAAGCCACGCCCCCGTGTCCTTACCTCGCTCGCTTCCCTTTTCCTTGCCTCCACTGCAGCGCCCTCTAGAGGGAGAGAGGCGGTGGCGTCCTTGTGACGGCGCTGCTTGATCTCCCCGGTCGCGAAGGAAGAGGGCCAGCCCCGCCGCCGCCGCACTGAGGGAGTGCTATATATAGACCCGATGGCTATAGATACACACTGCGCACAGCGACCCCTAGCGGGGCCCGGAGAACTGCAGCCGGAGAGAGTGGCGCGGCTTCATTCAGAACACTGTTTGGGGGCGGGGCTTCCTTCCTTGGAAGGTGACATCCCAAAAAGGCAGGGCTGGACTAATCCTTACACAAAATAAACCCGTGCAATAGGGCATCAAATAAAGAGGACTTTTGCCATTGCTGGACTTACCTTGCAAAACTGCAAATGGTGAGTAGAGCCAGGTTAAACAACAACATAAGATCATAAAAGAAATCAGAAGACATTTCCTTCTTGGGAGGAGAGCAATGACCAATCTTGATAAATTAGAGAAGAGTAGAGACATCACACTGGCAACAAAGAAGATCCGCATAGTTAAAGGAATGGCAGGCATGTAGCCGGGGGGGGGGGGGCTTGAGGCTCCCCCCCCCGAAATTCTCAGGGTGTTCCGCGAGAAGGCCTTACTGATAGGTTATTTAAACTGTTATGTTCATTCATATCATTATCTGATCACCATGCTCAATATATCCCATATGCATGGGGTATTGGGTAACAATACAAAAGGTTTGCTAGGGTAGACCCTCTTTCACTCAGACTCAGCCCCCTCCGAATCAAACTCCCTCCCCCCCCCCCACTCTCCCGAATCAAAATCCTGGCTACAGGCCTGAGGAATGGTATTCCCCATAGTCACCTACGGATGTGAGAGCTGGACCTTAGGAAAGGCTGAGCGAAGGAAGATAGACGCTTTTGATACTGGAGGAAGAATCTGAGAGTGCCTTGGACTACGAGAAGATCCAACCAGTCCATACTTCAGGAAATAAAGCCCGACTGCACATTGGAGGGAAGGATATTAGAAGCAAAGTTGAAGTACTTTGGCCACATCATGAGAAGACAGGAAAGCTTAGAGAAGACAATGATGCTGGAGAAAATGGAAGGAAAAAGGAAGAGGGGCCAACCAAGGGCAAGATGGATGGATGGCATCCTGGAAGTGACTGGCTTGACCTTGAAGGAGCTGGGGGTGGTGATGGCCAACAGGGAGCTCTGTTGTGGGCTGGTCCATAAGTTCATGAAGAGTCGGAAGCGACTGAATGAATAAACAACAACAATCATAAAAGACTTTGCAATTCGAAAAAGTAGGAGAATGCCTTTAAAATATAAATAAACACTGACACTATTGTGTTGTCAAAGGCTTTCATGGCCAGAATCACTGGGTTGCTGTGAGTTTTCCAGGCTGTATGGCCATGTTCCAGAAGCATTCTCTCCTGACGTTTCTGCTGCATCTATAGCAGGCATCCTCAGAGGTTGAGAAATGTTAGGAGAGAATGCTTCTGGGACATGGTCATACAGACCGGAAAACTCACAGCAAAACACTGACACTATTCTCTCAACTCCCACCATTCCTAACAGCCTCAGGCCCTTTCCTTTCCCCCCTCAGCCACTTAAGCCTAAATTTGACCATGCCTAGTCTAGATGATTAGATGCAATCAGGGAACCCTGAGGCCCCATTTACACTGCCATACAAAACCCAGATTATCCCTCTCCCATGGCATTATATGGGTCTATGCTACTCTATAATGCAATTAATCTGAATTTTATAATGCAATATGGATGGGGTCTGAGCAAAACTGTAGATGCTAAGATGATTTGGAGGTCTCTCATTCAGAGGAGAAATTGTATTCAGCATCCTGTTTTGTGAACATTGGTCCACTTCATCATGATTCAAGGTGGGTGTTTTTGCTAATTATTTGAATGCCTCCAGTTTAGTGGATCTCCTAGAAACCACAAACTTGCCTGTTTCAGGGCAATTGTATCAAATGACTCAAAGCCTGTATTAAACAATGCAGAATTGTTTCTAAAACTGTGTGTATACACAGAATAACAGTTGCAGTTTTTTTTTTGTTCACACATATAAATGCCAGCTGTATTCAAATATAATTTTCATTTGATTGCCATATATCATACAACATTTGGTTATATAACTATACATGCACAACACTACCATTGACATCTTTGAAGGTTATCCAACAGCAAACCACAAATTGAGCTTTGACAAGTTGGTGACATTTCAGTTTGTAGATCTCAGAATCTGTTCCCAATTCACCAGTTACATGATTGTTTCAAGTAGTAGGTTTGGGGAAAGGGCCTTCCTGAGTCCTTGGAAAACTTCTGCTTGTTGGAAAGATAGACCAGCATATTTTCTTTTTCATGTCAGGAACAACTGGAGAAACTGCAAGTCACTTCTGGTGTGAGAGAATTGGCCGTCTGCAAGGATGTTACCCAGGGGACACCCGGATGTTTTACCATCCTGTGGGAGGCTTCTCTCATGTCACCACATGGAAAGATGGAGCTGGCAGGTGGGAGCTCACCCTGCTCCCCGGATTCAAACTGCTGACCTTAGGATTTCTAGAAGTTGAAGGCCAAAACATCTGGGGACCCACAGGCTGAGAACCACTGGTTTAACCCATTGTGCCACCGGGGGGGGGGGGCTCCTACAGACCAGCAGTAATCTGAATTAATTTAAGGCAGGTTTGCTGTTATTGTAAATTGCAGCAACAATTCCTTGTTCCTGAGATAATGGAACCAGGAGAGCCAGATAGGAAAAAAATATCACTGTGCCTGTTGCCACATTAAATGAAAGCTTTAGGAGGTCCCTGCACAACATGGTTATCTTTGTCTTTCCCCTCTCCCATGGCAATTGGACACTGAGCGGAAAGGTGGTGATTCATCATTTGGGTGTGAAGACTTACTTTGCACAAATGACCACTGCATGACTGTAGCACTTTGGTGGCTGAGGTGCAGCCATGCCATCTTCTTCAGGCCCTTTCACACTGTACAATTATGAGACTATGGTTCCCCTTTAACAGTCATAGGTGTACCCCATGGAACCCTGAGGTTTGCAGTTTGATGAAGCAGTAGAATTCTGACTGAGAATGCCAAATACCCCTCCCTAAACTGCAAATACCAAGATTTATATGATGTTACCATGGCAGTTTATTTATTTATTATTTACAACATTTGTATCCTGCCCTTTTCTATCCTGAAGGGAACTCAGAAAGGCCAGAATGGCCTTATACATCAGCAACAATGTTGAATCCTAGTGCTATAATCCTGTAATGTGAGAAGACTCTCTGACTGGACTGGATTCTTCATATTTGATATGTCCAAATTATAGCTCAGTGCCTCTTAAAATGATCTGCAGCACCTACAAATTATAGAAGAAAAGATGTTCTCAAGGATAAATCTGTTTCATTGTCATGATTCTGAAATGCTAACAGATGCCTAATCAGAAAGCTAAATTATCTGATCTGTTCTGTGATTTGTGTACACATGGATTCCTGGATTAAATAACAAAAGCAAAAATAATAACACTGCAGAGTCTGCGTTTAGAGTCAATCCTGCATGTGTATTGATCGATAGCATTGACAGCTGACTATAATGGGCAGAGAGATCACATTAGTAGGATTGTGTATAACACTAAGGTTGGTCTGCTCTGCTCACATGTCTGAGACAAGACAGTACTGCATTGCAGGCACAGCCTACAGTTTGCATGCAACGCCAGGCCTCTGCTTTGCCGCACTGTACCTGCTTTATCGGTATCATTCATTACAGGACGTTCATAGCTGCTGTCTGCTACAGTGACTCACTTTAGACATGGATACATTTGGGGATTAAAGTGCAAGGATAATCTATGTTTAACACACTGTTGCTGTCAGGGAAAGTAAAGCACGAGGGATGTCTGCTCTGGATGCAACTGGCTTTTACTGACATCTAATGGGCAGAGAGAGAGTTTGCAGGAAAACAACATAGTAGCTTATACTGTAGAATCAGTTATCAACATAGAAAGTTTCAAATTCATTTTGGAATATGCTATTGTGAGTGTTGGTGTGATTTTATTTGAGGCACCATCAGATCATTGTTACAATTGCCACTGACTCTTGCAGAAGGATGTATTTAATGTGTGGGGAAAAAGCATCCCAGGAACTGTATGGGTTAGCAAAATGTATGAAGATATTTCTAGGCGCACCAAGTCCTCATGGTATCTGGTGGCTTCTCTATCAACAGTACAGTGAATCTTCTGTGCATTTTAGTGAGAACTGTAAATAAGCTATCCAAAGTTATGAACACAGGGAAAGGGAAGCATTTAATACTTTGAATAGCTTATTTAAAACCTAGACTTAGGGCAGTTTCACACAGCACTAAGTCACGGGGGCAAAAAATCCTGGGACTTCAGAAGAGGTCAACATACAGACCTGTTGGTACTGTAATTTCTGCTTCTGTTGTCCGGACTTGATGCTTTGTTGCAAGATTTAGAGCAGTGGTTCTCAACCTGGGGGTCACGACCCCCAGGGGGGGTTGTTTGGCCATTTTCCAGGGGTTTGGCCATTTTCCAGGGGTTGCGA